TTAGCTCAGTGGCACTGCACCTGCCTGGCAAGCGCATGGTCCTGAGTTCAATCCCCGGTACCCAGGTGTGGGGTGGGAAGAAGAGAGAAAGTGGAAAATAAAAACAAAAAATTAGAAAGTGGGAAAAAGGAATTGGATACAGGATCCCAGGAAGACTATCAGGACCTGAAACCAAAGTCCGAGTCCAACCTCAACCCAGCACCACTTCAATCCAACATCTGAGGAACCTGAGTTTGATGCTGAGTACCGCAAAAAAAGAAAAAAAGGTTTTGGAGCCAGAGGATTTGGCTCAGGGGTTTCACCGCCTGCTTCGCAAGTGCAAGGTCCCGAGTTCAATCTCCGGTACAAAAAAAAAAAAAAATTTTTGAGGAAACTGATGCAGAGAGGTCAAGTTTGTCCCATTAGGCTCAAGGACACCTCCCAGAGTCACCCCCCACCTGTCCCCAGTGGAACGTCTCTGGCTGCCTGATATTTGTCCAAGAGGGAGAGACAGAGCCACCACTTATCCTTTAGGCTACCCTAAGTCTTGCCTTGAACCCTTAGGTAGACATCTTTCTGCTTTGAAGCCCCACCATCCAAACATGCTTGCAGAAGCAGGGTGTTATACAAAGGCACATGGAACTCAGAGATGGAATTCAGGGGCTGTGGAGCTGGGCAGCTTGGAGCTCTGGGTCTTATTCTCTCCCTGGATCTGAGCCTGAGCAAGTCACTCAGCCTCTAAGTTTTGGTCTCTTCCACTGGTGTCTCCTCTTCCTTGGGCTGACAGGAATTTTAAGGGATAAAGAGGGCCAGGGTAGGGCTGCCTGGGTGAGGCTTGTTATGATAGTTGACATTGCCTTCTGGTGGCTGCTGGCAGCAAGCCCTGCCCTCTGATTCCTCCTGGTCTCTGGGGCCTAAGCTAGCAGCCAGCAAAGGCTTCTGGTAAGTCCTGGGTTCCACATCCTTCTACAGGTCCCAGCCTCTGCTGTGGTACTGAGGAGTATCAGGAGCAAGTCCCTCGATCATTCATTCCTCAAATATTGGCTGTGTACCTACTAGGTAGCGAACACTGCCCTGAATGCTAAGAGGTCAGACTTCAGTGGAGCAAGACACGGTCTCTGTCAGAGTTCCCAAGGTCACAGACCTTAAGCTAAGAGTCACATCATCCAGAAGAGCTGTGAAAGTCAAAGCATGACCCCAGGTACTCAACACCACAATGGAGGCCCAGGAAAGCTCCTCTAAGAAGGTAGGCCTGAGCAAAGATCTGAAGGGTGGGAGGGAGCTAATGATATGACAGTGTTCCAAGTAGATGGAGGAGCATGTACAAAGACTGGTGGTGAGAGTCCTATGACTGGAAGAGGTTTGCGGAATGTGATGCAGCAGTCAGGGACTGGCCCCATGAGGATGTGGCAGGACTTTGGTCTGTATCTTTGAAGTAATGGGGAACTACAGCTGTGTTTAAGCTTTTAGGAATGTTGTGACCAGATTTGCATTTTACAAGTAATAATAACCAACACTGCCAAGTTTCTTTTTGCCAGACTAGACACTGGAATATCTCACTAGATTTTCACATATGTGAGACTGGAGTTCTTCCCATCTTATGGATGAAGGGCTCTGTCTTAGAGGTTAGATCACTCAGCCAAAGAGCTCATAGTGAGGATGTGATAGGAACTCTGGCTACAGGGCCAGGTTTAGAACACCAGGGCACAGAGCTCATTCAGCTTTCATCACAATCTCCCAAAGTTGGTGCAATTATCCTTCTTATTTTACAATTGAGAAAACAGGCTCAGAGAACTTTAGGAAGTAGCCTGAGGCCACATAGCTAGAAACTGGATTTGAGCCCATGCAGTCTGGCTAAAGTGTACTGTCAACCATGGCCTTATTTTGCTTCTTGGAAAGAGGTTTGGAAAACCATTCTTGAACCACTGCAGGAAGGTAGGGGAGGAGCTGCACTATGAGGTCAGGGAGAGGGGTAGGTGGCTTGGCTGGGACAGGGCAGTGGTAGAGCACAGTGGATACATTCAGAATGAGGTTCAATAAGCTGGCCCTTTAGGGGCTGGAAGAGGCTAGGTGAGAGCACAGCCAGGAGGTGTGGCTTGGCTTGGTGTAGCTGGACAAGTCAGAGAATGTCCTCTGAGGTGAGGTGAGTGGTGTGGGACATGTCTGCCCAAGACAGGTTTAGGGTGATGGAGACTGAATCCAGCTAAGAATCATGGACTTGGTTGTTCCCAGGCCAGAACTTGGAGAGACAGTCATCCTGTAGGTCAGGAGAGACAGAGGCAGGGAGTGAGAACTGCCCAGGAAAGGGACAGGATGATCTGGCTCAAGTGATGGGTGCAGGGAAGTGGCTGGCAGGGGCACAGACAGTTGTGCTGAGCTTGCCAACAATGTGGGTTAAAAGTGGTCACAGGAGGAAGGGGTGCTGCTCAGCTACAGAAACACTTGCTTAGCATGTGGGAGGTCCTGGGTTCCATCCCCAGCATGGGGAGGATCACTAACATGTGTAGCGTCGGGCTGTTGTGGTGACATATTAGAGGACTGACAGGTGAGAAAGGTGAGGACACTGGGCCTGGCATGGCCAGTGGGGAAGATGCACCTAGGCCTCTTAACCTTCTAGAGGAGAGGTACGTAGAGAGGCGGCTACCCAAGGACAGTGAAGAACCATCCGAAGCCAAAGACAGAGGCCTTGGGAGAAACCAGCCAGCCTAGACCTTGATCTGAGACTTCTAGCCTCCAGAACTTTCTGTTGTTCAAGCCAGGTCTGTAGTGCTCTCTCATGGTAGCCCTAGCTAAGACAAAGTAGTTGCCAAATCAACTGGACAAATCCAGGTGACAGAATGATGGAGACAATGACACAAAGAAACAAAGAGGGAGAAAGAAAGATGCAGAGTGACACAACACAGAAAAAGAGAGAGAAGGAGACTGATGATCTGAGGAATGAGGTGTCCAGGAGAAGTGACCTGGCCCTGGCCTCCTCCATGAGTGTGCGTGGTTGGGGAAGATTTTTCAGGCCAGGACTGCACAGCAAGTGAGGGAGGAGTGAGTGGCAGGGCTAAAGGTGAGCCTGAGGCAGTCTGGGGGCTGTGGGGTAATACTCAATTTTTTTTTAAGACAGGCTTTTCTTTTTCCAGTAGCAGGAATCAAACTCAGGATCTTATGCTTGCCAGGAAGGCATGGCACCGCTGAGCTACATCCCTGGCCCCGATACACAGTTCTTGAGGAGGGCAGATGAGCTTGGAGTTTCTTGCCAAAAGAGGGTTCCAAAATAATGAACTGTATAATCTAAGCTGGAGGAGGGACATGGAGAATGAATATACAGATATTGTACAGACACACAGATGCTTTTTCCCTTGGCTTCTTTACATGAGCTTTCTAAAGCTGCAGGCCAGGTTGTCCTCTGGGGTACCAGCCTGGGGCTGAGTACAGCCCTGCTGTGTGGGGATGGGCTGAGTGAAGCTGCAGGACCCTCCTGTAATGGCCAGGGGAGGGTGAGTGATGGGACCAAGGTGGCCAACAGGAACAGGGCCCAGCCCTGGAGTTCACCTTGGTAGCATGGGTTAGGGACCACAGAGGTTGCTTAGAGGGCTTCCCAGCCAAAGGCCACTAAGCTGGCTTGTCACTTTGACTTGGGCATGTACAGCTGAAAAGTCCCTCTCACACAGTTCACCCTTGCTGATCACAGATCCAAAAAGTCCAGGGCACAATACATGGAGATGTCTCTGATCCCCAACACAAAGACTGAGCCCAGCAAACAAGTTCACCCTTAGATAGGAACATGTGGCTGGAGCCATGGACCTGAGCCCTCAGCCTGAGGTCCCCAGACCTCTGCCTGCATCTGCCACCCTTTCCTAGCCAGCCTGGAGGGGCAGAACAAGCCTGGATCCAATCCATGAGCTCAGGGCCCTCCTGACCTCTCCCTGGGCTGAGGCTCTACCTCTAAGGCCAGGAGTAGGGATGACTGTCACCAAGGCAGAAACCTTCCTTTAGCCCTTTATAGCCAGGCTATGGGGTATCAGGATAGGGTTGCCAAGTTAAGTCATCAAGCATTTATTTACCTGTCACGGCACCCCACAGTCATGAAGGGGGCACTACGCCTGAAGGAAGGCAGGGTGGCTCAGACAGTGGCCTCACAGTCAGTTAGGGTAAGGCCTCAGCTCTGCTGCTGCCTCCTCCCTCTTCTTCCCTGTGATATGGGAGATCAGTAACAGACCCCCAAAGACCTAGATCCCCTTACCTGGGTCCCGTAGCCTGTTCCCTGCCTGCATGCCGCTTGATGGGGGTCCTATGTCTGGCCCAGGAACACAGCCAGCCAAACACAGCAGCTCTGTCACAGGAGGGAGAGGAGGCCCAACCTATCACACCAACTGGCTGGGCCTATATATATTTAATGATGTCTATTATTCTTGTTTTGTCTCTGGAAAGGAGCAAGCAGCTGATGGGAGCAGGGAACAGCCTGGAAAGCTGGGCAGTGGGCCTACTCCACATTCCAGCCTGGTCCTAGTCCTCTACCTCTCCGGACAGCTGCACAGAACCTGTGTCCTCTACTTCCAAAGGCACAGCTGCTGCAGAAGGCCTTCCCCATGCTCTGGACTCATGGCTTTGTATTTTGAGTGCTTCTGTAGCTTCCCACAGAGAAATGGCACATCAGTTCTTAGGCAGCATAGCAGGGCCCTCCACCTCTGGCCCAAGGTCACAGGAAATGTAAGCACTCATGGAGGAGTCTTCTTGACTCCTCCAAACAGTCACAAGAGCCTCCTGTGGACTCTTCCCACCCTGGCAGATGGGCCTGGTCTTCAGAGGGGCATACCAGGCCTCAGGAGCCCCTGGCCAGCACTCCTGCAACTGTCCCACATTTGGACCATGGCTGACTCTGCCTTCTCCTAGCCACCCCAGGTTTGGGCCTGCCCAAGGGCCCAGGGCACACCCACTTCCTGATGGCCAGGTTCATTGTTCCCCCCCATCTCCCTACTCTACCTGGCAACAGGGTCCAAGTTTAAAATTCCCCTCTGCCTGCACAGGAACAATTTTCTATCTTTTATTTCAGAAAAGAGACAGAGATCATGGGGTTCGGAGAGAAAATGGAGCCCAAACTTGGCAATCCTTACCCTGGATGTGCAAGGCCAAGGTCCTGGGCTTTGTGCTGGGCAGGGGCTGCCCTAGGAGGGGATAAGAGGGGAGGCACTTTAGGACTACTCAGGCTGTGGGGAGCATGACCTGGTTCCCACCATGGGGACGCATGTCCCCGAGTGCCAGGGAAGCCAGCAGGAGCTGAGGAAATGAGGTGCCCTCAGGGACCCACAAAGGCCCACCTCCCACCTCAGCACTGAGCCTGCCATTGGCTCTGGTGGGGCAGTAAGTGGGTAACTTGCTCTCTCAGTCTCCAAAGGGGCCAGGAATAAGAACCCCATCCCAGGGGTCAGGCTCACAGGAAATGTCCCTGGCATAGCCTGAGTCCCCCAACCTCAGCCCTCTGCCTCATACTCTTCATCATCTGCCTACTGAAGAAGCTTCTGGAAACAGCAGAGATGGGAGGGACTCCTCCTGGGGTGCATGTAGTTGTATTTTCCCTGTTTGGGTTTTGGTGGGTCCCGATGGGTCCAGCTCCCCAGGAGACAAATCCAGCTCAAGAGGCTGCTACTTCTTCACAATTTGGATGACGTCTTCATGCTCCATGGTGTGGGTCAGGCCCACCCGCTGTGGGCTGTATTTGGTGCTGGTACCCTGGGCAGGAATGGGGGCAGAGGAGCCACGTCAGTCTCCAGACCGGCTGAGGCTGGAGAAAGCTGGGGGAGAGTCGGGGGTGGGGGATGAGTTCTGTAGGAAAGTAGAGGCCCTAGACTGGCAATCCACCAGGCCTTGACACAGGATGCCCCCAGTGTCCTGACCATCCTGAATCCAAAGTGGGGAGGGCGGTGTCCAGCCTGGGTCAACACATACACTCCAAGGAGCAGGACAGACACACATGAGGGTCCCTGTGTGCAAGGACAGGAATGCTGAACAGAGCACAAAGGCCCCACTCTCAGCCTAACCCAAGGACTGTGTTGGGCCCAAGCCCTGCCAGGACTCACCCACACCAGGGCGTACTTGAACTGGCTGGCGAGTGATCGGTGGATGCGGTGGCACTAGAAGACAGGAGACAAGACAAGGAGATGAGATCCTGTAGAACCGCACCTGAGTAGAAAGCCCTGGGTGTAGCTGCTGAGCAACAGCCACTCCTAGAGGAGGTGCCTTAAGTCAAGGCTGCCACATGCCCTACTTCTATGTAACCTCTTACTCATGACTGCAGGTAGTTCTGGCATTCCTTCTCCTAGGTCTGCCCAGAGCCATGGTGCTTACTTAATATTCCCACAGTCAGCAGCCTTCTGCCTGCCTCACCTGAACCACAGTCTGACAGATGCTCCTTCTGAATAGGCCAGGGGGGTTGTCAGGAGACCTCCCTCAGCTTGGAGTCACAAATCATCCTGGCTCCAGCTGCGGCCTATAGCTTCCTGCACATCATATCCCCACCCCTCTTTTACCCTGAACCCCAGCATTCCTGGGTAGGAATGAAGGTCAGAGGAATCCCAGTGCAGTCAAGAAGTTGGAAGGAGTTCCTGGAGGGAGCAGCTAGCAATTGCCTCAGAATGTGGACCCCTGGTTGCCACCCATATGGAGGAGGCAGGGAGAAGACTGTGCAAAGTTGTTCCTCCTCCTCTCACATGGCCACAAGTCTTACAGACCTGAGTCTGAAGGAGCACTTCACCATAACGTATATGGGAAGCCAACTGATGGTGGTCTCCTCTGGGTGACGGAGGATATTGCAGACACAAAGAAAAGGAACTCATAGCAACAACAGTGATAAGCACACATACCCACAACAATCGATTCTCACACCTACTTTCTTTTTCCTGGACCAAAGAGTAAAAACTGATGGTCTAGCCAGGCATGATGGCACACACCTGTAATCCCAGCCCTCGGGAGGCTGAGGCAAGAGGAATGCTGCAAGTTCAAGGCCAGCCTGGGCTACATGGTGAGTTCAAGGCCAGCCTGAACTACATAGTGAAACCCTGTCTCAAAAAAACAAAACAAACAAAAAAAAAATGAAAAAACTGATGGTCTAGAGGTCAGCTCTACTCTGACAGTAGTTTTAAATTCCATTCAGCTTGCCTACTTTCCCTTAAAAGTTAACCTCGTGGGCCTAGGATTTAGCTCAGTGGTTCTGCCACCTGGCCAGCAAGCACAAGGACCTGAGTTCGATTGCTGGTACCAAAAACAAAACAAAACAAATACATAAGTAAATAAATAAAGATTTTATATTAAAAAAAAAAAAAGTTAACCTCATTGGTCAAGTTTAAAAAGCAGGGTTACATAGTCATTTGGACTCTTTTGAAAACCCAAAGACTTTATGAGCATTGTGTCAGTGCCTGGTTCCTTGAGGCCAAGAAGACATGAGCACTGACAGAAAGCTGACAGGAAGCTGAATGTTTTCAGTGGGAACCATTTTCCATGGAGCTTCCTCTGTGGTTTTCATGGCAGAGTATTTCCCTGCACTCATATCTCTAGCTATAGGTGGAGAATGGAAGATCATCTAAAAAGGCCACATTTGTAAGATGGAAGATGTCTTAGGGACAGAAAGACCACCCCTCCTTGGAGTCCACTATGTCTCATTCCTGCCAGCCCTCCCGCAGCTTCTGTACCAGAGCTCATCACCATGACCCTAATAAGGGTAGCTTTGAGTGCTACACTCCATCAGCTCTCACCAACAGGGATCCAGGGATCTAGGGATGGATACATGCTGAAAGCCCTGGGGGACTATAATCCCTAGACTAGGAAACTGAGGCACAGGATGGGGGAGCTGGTACATGGCCCCAAATTTGGTTGCTCATCTACTTTCGGACTGCAGTCAGCATCGGGGCTATTAATTCCCTGGGCAGGGGAAGGGAAGGCCTTTTTTTTTTCTTTTTTTGGTACCAGGGATTGAATTCGAGGCCTTATGCTTTCGAGACAGGCGCTGGAACCATTGAACTAAATCCCTGGCCCTGGGGAAGGCCTTCTACTTATACTCTATGGTACCAAGGACAGCTTAATGTCCTGGGAAGAGGCACCCAGGGGGAGGGTGAGCAGGAAAGAAGGCGACCACTGAAGGGACAGCCTTGCTGGGACAAAGAGTGGAGCCAGGCCTCCAAAGCCTCTTCCCACCCCACCAGCCTCTTCTCACCCTGGGGTGCCAGGCCTACTGCCACTATCCATTCTCCACCCTCACTGCTGCCTCTGAGCTTTGGTGTTTGTTTTTCCCACTGTTTATTCCACCCTTCCCCTCCTGATATCCAACCTTCCTCTTAGGCATGGCTAATGCCCCACATCCTCCTGGGCAAGCAGCTGGGCCTGAGAGAGAGGATAAAACTCCTCCAGAAGCACAAGGTGACCCTAGGAATGGCTAACACCTGTGTCTATAGCCTACTGGACTCCAAGCAGGGGATCTTGCAGCTAAGAAGTTCCAGAACAGGCCTGTGGAACAGGGCCTTCAACACAGCTGCTTGTGAGAGACTGAAGGGACTCAGGATAGTGCTCTCAGTCTCCTTGGCTCATACCTGCCCGGTAACTTTAAAGCCTGACTGCCTGGCCTCATCTGTCTAAACACCCTGAGTCTAGCACAGAGGGGCCTTGGGGTGGGTTTGACAAATAAATGGATGTGCGAGACCAGATCAAAGGCTCAGTCACTACTGTCCTTCTGAGTGACTACAGGCATAGCTGGGTCTCACATTCCTTGTCTCCAAAATACAGTCTGAGAAGAAATGGACTAGAAAACAAAACCTAAGAAAATAAGAGCTAAGGAAGATGGCTGTGTGACCTGCAGTCTGATCACCTCCTCCTGTGGGGTCAGGCAGCAAAATTTAGGACAGGGAGAGTACCTGCCCACTCTCTGAGCCCAGGTTACCCTGCCCGGGGTACTCCCACCTTGGTCTCCACAGGTTAGCCAGTACATCTCCTGTAAGCTGCCTTCCTGACCTCGGTATGCCCCCCGTGCCACCTCCACCATATGCTGCTGTGTTTAGTGCTGACCCTCAATAAATGTGTGCTGAAAGCCAGGCATGGTGGTGCATGCCTGTAATCCCAGTACTTGGGAAGCTGAGGCAGGAAAATCACAGAGAATTTGAGGCCAGTCTGAGCTACATAGTGAGTTCAAGGCCAGCCTGAACTATATAGCAAGATACTATCTCAAAAAACATACATATATATATATATATATATATACATACATACACAAACATATACAAACAATAAACATGTTCTGAGGGCAGGAAGCAGCCAAGTCCACAGTGAATTGGGGGGCAGGACAGGGGAGTAGGGCAGACTAGGCTAGGGGGTGAGGGGGACAAAGGAGGTAACAACACTGAGCTCTGGCCAGTTCTGCCACTAGGTAGGAGGACAGAAGTAGGTCTCAGGGCTTCTCCCACTGACTGCTCCAGCCCCACTGACTAACCATATACAAACACCAGGGGCTGTAGCTCTCCTGGATTGAATGCTGGAATGGCCAGTGGCTGTGGCCCCAAGTGGCCTATAAGCACTGGGAGCAGGGTGACGTGACCACTGCTCACTGGCATCTACCTAGTGCTAGGAGGTATGCCAAGAGCCTTATACACTTGCCTTCAATCAGTATGACTCCCCTAACTACTCATGGGAACTAGTAGTATCACCCCACCTCACAGAAGAGGGATAGAGGCCTGAGATGCAGCAAGGAAGGGGTGGTATGGATGCAACCCGAGGCAAACTCTAGAGACTGCTTAAGTATCCAGGAACCCAACCTTGCCCCCAAAAGAACAGATGTGAGCACCCCAGAAGAACAGATCCCCCAGGGCTCCCCTGAGCTCCCAGACCCTCCTCTGGGGAGGTTTTAACTCACCACATGCTCCACAGAGGCCCCTTTCCGGAGAATAATGGCGTCTGTGAAGTCGGGCCTCTCTGCAGGGAGACGGGGGAAAGTTACAACCAGTCATGGCTTGTGCTGCTTTGGGATTTCTTTTCAAGGAATGCTAGCTGCAGAGGCCCTTCTGATCTCCTGTCCTTGGTCTAACTTGCCTCGGCTATCTGGCACATCCTCAGTATATTCATGTGTTGCCTACTACAACTTTGACTTTAACAGAAAATTAAAATCAACGTCCAGAACTCACATGCCTGCCACTCTATCAGCTGTGACGGCACCTATAGAAACAAGCCATTTGGAGCATCTGGACTGAATGGGCAGAAGTGAATGGTTGCTTGAGTTTAGGTGAGGAAGCCATAGCTCTTCCCTTGCTCCCTAGGTCAGGGTTGATAGAAATTGCCCAGAACTCAGGAGCTGGGTCCCCAGAGCCTGTGAGTGTATGTCCACATGTACTGGGAGATGTGGACATGGAAAAGGTTCCTAAAGCTCGTGATGCAGGGCCTGCCACTGCAGAAGGAGGTTAGGAGACCAGAGGCTGCTGTGGCCAGTGGGGAATCCAGGGAGCCTCAAGATCAGCAGTCCTATCACTCAGCATTCCCTGCCGTACAGCTCAGACTGAAGTCTCCAACAGCCTTGGCGAAGGATAGCAGCATCCTCTTCTCACAGGCAAGCTGGGCTGGGTCTCTGGGTGCTGCAGACAGGGTGCCAACCCTCTAGACAGGGTGACGCTCAGCCATTTCTTGAGTGGAACCCTAGGTGACTCACGTCCTCTCTTCTTGGTGTAGATGCAGGTCAGGGCTAAGTACTCCCAGAGCATCTCCAGCAGGTAGTCCAGGTTCAGCTTCATGCCGCAGCTACAGGGAGGAAGGCACCAATCAGCCAAAGGCTGGGATCTCAGAGAACATGGTGTTTGCTTCTTACTGTTAGAAAGGATGACCTCCATGGCCAGGCATGGGCATCAAGGCTGGTGTGGCCCTACTAACACCAATGGGAAAACAAGCCTGTTATCCTGATGGTAGCTGAATGCTTCACCTACCAATACTTTTGGTCACCCACGGCAGTTATGTCCCAGAAAACTTAGCATCACTCCTAGGGCCCAGCACAGCTATGCTCTATGGAGGGCCCACAGCACCTGTGACTGACCTGCTGTGAGGAGACAAGTCAGGTCAGAGACTCCTTCCTGTGAGGAGAGAGGCTGCTAAGGGCCCAGGGCAGCACACAGGGATTCTAGCATGACGAGGGAGGGACACAGGTGCTGAAGACACCCAAACATGGGTGGCCCCTGACTTGACTTACAGCAATGTGATCCTGAATGGGACCATGACCTTAGGAAGAATTATTGTGAGCATGAGCAAGTACAGTTGTCCATGCTCTTTATGGCCCGAGGACAAGCATGTCTTCAGGCATCCCAAGGGGCTTAGGATACAGCAGGAGGACAAAGATGAGCTGAGGCTGCCCTGGGGATAGATACTGCTCTTTGCAGTGGCTGCAACACCCAGACAATAGTCCTCACTTGTCATTTTCCCTAAACACCCCCACTTGGTCCCTGAGCATCTTGGTCCTTCAAATTAGGGTTCACTGGGAAGTGGCAGAGTGCCTGGTTTGAGCCAAGAAACCAGAAAAGCAGAGCACTTAGTCCATCACAGAAGGAGAGTCCCACAGGGTGGTTCTGGGAAGTATAACAACTATGGTCCAGATCACAGACAGGAAGGGCAATATCCCAGGGACCTACTGGGCAAAGAAGTGCAGGAAGAGGGAGCCAGGGGCAGACCAACCCATCTGAGAGCTTAGTTCCCTCTTCCCTCTGAGCTGTGGTCAGACAGAAGCCACAGCTTACAGAGCATCAGAAGAGGCAGTCACACTGGGTCTTTCTAAGAGACTGTGATTCACTACCAGTCTAAAAAGCCTCTTAACTGGGCTGGGGATTTAGCTCAGTGGCGCCACGCTGGCCTCAAAAGTGCAAGGTCCTGAGTTCGATCCCCAGTACCAGGGGTGGGGATGGGGGTGGAGGGTAGTGGTGGTGGTACTCTCTTAACCATTCAGCCTTTATGCTGAAATCCTCTGACTTCTTAACTAGAACCCACCAGACATTACAAACAAGCTAATGGCATCACCAGCTACTGGGGGTCTTTCCTGCAAAATTTCCAGGGCCTCATGAACAGAGTGGCTTCCTTGGGAGGAGAAACTGGGCTTCATGATGTCACATGCAGGTGGAGGTGGCTGGCTTTTTCTCCCTCACAGCTGAGGTGATCAGGAGGCCCATCTGCTGGGCTCAGAAAACAGGACAGCAGGGCAGCAGGATGCCAGTGCCTCACCTGATGACCACACTGTTGGGTTTGCGAGCAAGGCGGTCCACTTCTTCCATGGAGATCTGGTCGATTTTGTTATACACCTGAGGTTGAAAAGGCAGAGGTGAGTAGTGGGGAAGGGCCAGGGAAGTCCAGGACAGGGCTTAACAGGGCCACACCTGCCCACGGGGGCTTCTCTCCTTGCTTCTCCAAGACTGAAAAGGATGAAGGGGCAGCTGCTCCCACTAGAAGGAAAGGCAGACTGGAACCCTGGTTTCCAGCTCTCCATGTCTGCAGCACTCAGGCAGCCACTGAGACAGAGGGTAAGGAAGGGCTAGAAGAGCCTTTGGCTCTCTCTGCTCCTCTCAAAGTCCTGGCTGTGGCAAGACCAGAGGCACCCAGCCATCAGGGTCATGGGGGCTCAGGAAATGCATTCAGAGGAAAGGCTATATGGCCTGGGGTCATGGTATGTCTCCTGCACCGGCACATTTGGGTGGTAGTACCACTTACATACAGGCAGGGCATGTACACTCGGTTGCCCACAATCACATCGATGAACTCATCTGGGGAGCAGTCTTCTCGGAAAAGCACTTCTGCATTGAAGATCTCTGAGGGATCAGATTAAGGGCAACATGTGCACCAGCAGCCTCTGCTGCTCTTCAGCAAAGGCCCCAGAGACACACAGGAAATACACTGACTGAAAGAGGCCTCAGCCATGATCAACTTGTGAGGTTTTATAAGATTTTAAACCATGAGAAGCTTACTCATTTCCCAACTCCTAAATCACAATATATAGAAGTTTCAACCAACAAACAATTTAAATCCTCTGTCAGGCAGGGAAAATGTGCTTCTAGAATCCCCAAAGCACTTCCACAGAACCCCTAGTTTGAGTCCCAGAGCATTCTGTGAAAGCCAGTTTGTGCAGCATGTTCCACATGTGCATTGCCTCTGGGGGCTGCCTGCTCCTGCCTGCATACCTCTGGTATCCCAGGGCTCAGCCATCAGTGTGTCTAGAACTCAGTGAAGAGCCAGAAAGTTGCATCAGGTGCGTGGCTGCAGCCCTGGCAGGCTTGGGTAGCCAGGCTGGAGCTTTCCTGGAGGCTGCTGAGATGGCTCAGGAGTCACTGGGGTGACCCGCTGTCTCTGTGGGCCAGGTGACCTGCTATCTCATGTCCCCCATCTCCTTCAGGAAGGATACTGTATTCGTGTAGGATGAGCTGCACCAGCTTCTCTGAGCACTGGGTCAATGTAACTGTTGAGTTAAAGGAGATCCCTCCACCTTTCTTGGGCTAAAGCAGGAGAGAGGAACAGGGAGAGCTGCTGACAAAGGGACAACAGTGACAGTCCCATAGTCTCCATTGAAACCATTGCAGTCCCAAAGTTGCACAGCCCTGGTCAGGGATAACCTACCTTGAAGTAGATGTTAGGCTTGTGCTTATTGAGGCGGATGCCCACCGACTCTAGTTCCTTCTCCAGCAGAGATCTAAGCAGAGGACAAGCCCCTTACCCACTGTCCTGGGGAAGGTTGTACAGACCCCATGTCATCCAGGCCTACCCCAATAGAGACTAACTCCCTTTTTCCTCCCTTCCCAGCAGCCCAGGGACACTCCTTCCCAACACCCCAAAGTTGTAGTGGAGCCTCAAGCTCTCTGCCCCCAGTTAAGAGAAGGTTGGCTGGGTTTACTCAGCATGCACAGGCAAGTGGCATGAGCTCTCAAGGGGTGAACAGGTGAGGTGCTGCCTTGGCTTCCAGGGCCCCCAGGAACCTGCTGCTATAAAGGCAGGCTGGTGTGTCCCTTGGCTGACAGGTGCAGGGAGAACCGATTTCCTCTGTCTTGGGGCTAGGCTCTTGACAGGTTAGGAGCCAGAGCCAGACCATGTTCCTTCACACACACACCTGAAGCCCAAGCTGCCCCTGTACTGGCTGGACACAGCTCAGGAGAGTATGTCCCCAGCTGGGTGGTCCTGAACTACCCACGGACAGCAGTGTTAGTACTCCCATATGTGAGGGCCAGGCACTCACAGACCACCCACCATGAACTCAGAGATGCATGGGTCTTCCCTAGACATGTGAGACTGCACCCCTGCCCCACCAAGCAGACCTCTGCACCTCTCCTTTGGTGGCGTCAAGCATCATGATGACAACATCAGCTGTGCGTGCCACGGCGATCACCTGCCGGCCACGACCCTTCCCTGGACAGATGGAAGGGAACTGGTTACACTCTGGTAAGGTACAGCTACACAGGACTCATGTGATCTCTACCCAGGCAACAACACCCCAGACTACTGTCCTTTACTAATCCACCATGGCCTCTGGCACATGCCACCCCTATGCTGTGATTTCCTTGCCATTCTTTTTTGTTGTTGTTGGTACTGGGGATTGAACTTGGGACCTTGCACTTGCGAGGCAGACACCGGAACCACTGACCTAAATTCCCAGCCCTTCCTTGGCATTCTTTAATCCAGAAATTGTTTTACTCATAGGCAGTTTTAGAACTTATCACTTTAAGTGGAATAACAGGATAATAAGGGGTATTCTATCCCTGCCCCTTCCTTCTAGCAGGGTTAGTCTAGATACTTCATGACCATTTCCCCACTTAATCCTCACAACTACGCTGTGAATTCAGTATTAGCCTGTCCATTTCATAGATAAAGAAACTGAAGCTTGGCTCAGAGATACTTAATCTCTCGCCCAAAATCAAAAGGCTAGTATAGCACCAGTAGCTGAACTTGACCCTGTGCTTTCTGGGAAATGAAGTAATGGAATCAGGGATCCAGAGTGATCTCATGACAGTCACACTCAATTTCAACAATCAGTGACAAAGTTCCAGCCTGTCCCCCTGGCTGCCCTGCCTCCCACCTTGTGCAGCGCCTTCAATGATTCCAGGAAGGTCCAGGAGCTGGATGTTGGCACCTTTGTACTAGGAAGCAGAAGAGAAGAGGGTAAGATGAGGCTGGGTCACCTCTGGCAAGGGCCTGCCTGGACCCAGGACACCTACAATGGCCCCACATCTCAGGGGCTGTGGGAAATGCAGGTGCCAACTATGGCCAAGTCTGAGCCTCTTCACCACCTCTGCCCAGCATAGACCACAGTCTAGGAGCTGAGAAGCATGTGGGGAGGCTCTGGTATCTTCTTGCTCCATAGCCCTCATTGCTGATGGAAAAGCTCCTCAGAGATAAACTGCTTCACGTAGAGACTCAAGGCCACAGCCCATGCTATCCAAGGTAAGCACAGCCCAAGGCTTTGGGGCTTTAAAGGAGATGGAAGGAACCTGCCCATCAGCAGCAGTGACCAGAGCTGGGTGGAGAGAGCAGAACAAAGAGATACCTTGCAGACCTGTCATATGTGGGCCCAACCTCCTGGAATACGGCAGGGTTTCATGCCCAGGTAGACTACTCTGAGCCTGCTCCACACAAGGACACTTACGCTCAGACTCACATACATGACAAGTATCTGCACAAGTGCAAACATAAGCACACTCCATCACCTTCTGAGGCCCTGCACACTCACTTACTTCAATGACTCCAGGGATACATGTCAGGGTGGTGAACTCGTAGGAGGCAGCTTCGCTGGCAGTGGAGGTCATCAGACTCAAGAAGGTGGACTAGGAGATAAAAAAGGTCACTGCACTAAAGAATCTTGTCCCAACCTCCCAGAAGACCCCTTCGGGCTGGGCCTGCTGGGTGCAGGAAGAGCTCTTCTTGCCCTTGTTCTGGGAACTTGGGTGGATTAACTGCTCATTGCTTCAACTCTGTGAGGATCGACAGGGTGTCAGAGGGGCCCTATGCTCCTTAGAGGCTTCAGGCCTGGTTTCTCCTCCACATGAATTAGGAGCTCCTCTCTGACCCACATAACCCCCCAGGCTCTCCTGGCCCCATGCATAGCACTTGATGAAGCAGGACCAAGAGCTTACTGCTGCCCAGGGAGTGTGAAGGGACGTGCATATGTACAGATGGAACACAGATGGAATGGTCTCAAGAGTAATGGCTGCTGAAACACTGAGCAGTGTAGCTGGAAGCCAACCTAGGGACACCCCTGATTCAGTCTGACCTCTGTGGGTGAGGCCTGGATCCTTCCATGGTGGGAGAGCTGGTATTCTCAACAGGATAGGTGGGATCTGACACCCCAAGGGGTACAGTCATTGGTAACTAAGCAGCTTCTATCAATCTCTCTCTAATGTATATACTAGTTACATAGGCAGTGAGTAAAAGAAACAAAATGAAACTACAGCATGTACTTGAGAAATGGTTCCTGATCCCCTCCACATATTGTTTAGTGAGTTTACTCAGAAGCTGCCCAGCACGTTACAAGCCTGGCCATTGCTTACATGGCCTGTATTTGAGCAGTCTCATCACTGGCTTTCCTGTCCATCCTTATCCTGCTGCTGCCTATTAACTGCAGAGCAGCCAGTGATTCAGTTAAAAAGTAAGTCAGCACCTAGATCTTGGTTTCTAATAGCATATTCTAATTAAAGGAACCCTGACTCCTTAGAGAAAAGGCAGACAAGGCAGGGAATAGATAAGATGAGCCTTAAACATTTTGTAGTGACAGAGTGAGGGCATGCTAGGAAAAACACAGTGATGGGAGTACATCAAAGAAGCTAGGCTGGGGACATGGCTCCATGGTAGAACACTTGCCAGGTTCCATCCCCAGGACCAATAAATAAATAAGAAAACAAAAAACCTCCAAAGCTAGAATAACCTGACCAAGAGAAGAACAAGGTATGAAATTAGACCCTAAAGTATAAAATAAATACCCACACCAGCCCATAATGGTATCAGTGACTGAATTAGACAAATAAATGTGGGGCTGAGGGAATAGATCAGTGGTAGAGCATAGGCTCAGTATGTGCAAGGGCCTGGGTTCCATCTCCAGAGACAAAAATAACAAAAAACAACAACAAAGCCAAGTAAATGGAAAAAAGAAACAAATCTCCCACCAGAAGAACTGCAAATAATTTATGTAGATCTCCCCCTGAAGGAGGCAGTTCTGACACCAGACCCTGGAAGTGTAGGCTCTACATATTGATGTCCCTCCCAAGGATACCATATAGTAGGGGAGGAAAAGGGAGAAACTCTGTAGGACAGAAACTTGATGCACACTACCTCGGCTAGGTGGTCAAGATTGACATCAACAGTAATAAGTCATCTTGATATTATGTACCATTAATGTAAGGTTAAAAAACTGCACCCAGCTGTGCAAGCACAAGGACCCAAGTTCGATCCCTGATACCAAAAAAAAACAAACCCCAAAACAAAAAAACTGCACCTGACCTATAAGGGCTCCTCCCTAAACCAGAACCTCAATCTAAGTACAAGAAAAACATTACACAAACCCCAACTGAGGGACTTTCTACAAAATAATTCATTAGTCCATTCTCAAATGTGCCAAGGTCATCAAATCAAGACACAGATAAGAAACTGCCTGCTAGAGCCTAGAAAGACATAATACCTGAACGTGATATGGAATCCAGAATAGTGGGGTAAAAATAAGGAAATGCGGTTCAATCCCTGGTACCAAAAAAAATAAAAATAAAAATAAAAATAAATAAGGAGGGCCGGGGAATTTAGCTCAGTGGTTTCACCACCTGCTGCGCAAGCTCAAGGACCTGAGTTTGATCCCCAGTACTGAAAAAAAAACAAAAAACAAAAAACAAGAAAATATGAATAAGGCATAGACAAGATGATAACAAAGCTCAACATTTATTCACTAGTAGTGACAAGTTTGCTATTCTTCTGCAAGACATTAACAATAGGAAACCAGGTGTGGGATGTATGGGAACACCACTGTATTTCTAATTTTTGTCAATACAGAACTATTCTAAAATTAAGTTTATTTTAAAAAGTCAGTCAGATCTTGTTTTTCTCAAAACTCTCCAATGATGCTTATCTTACTATCCACAAAAAACATAAATGAATATGGATTTTACAACTAAACTGAAAAGCTTTCAAAAGAAATAGGAAACTCAGTAATGATTACTGTATCACTCTTCATTCTAAGGCAGTCTGATAGTTCCGAGGCCCCCATCCTCTTGAACTCATCTCCCCTGTTCTGCCTGATGCTCACGCAGACCTAGCTGCTCTGACTCCAACCCCGACCCCAAACACCAGACAGACCCCCCACAAGAGTCTCTTGTCGTCACTGTTCCTTCTGTCTGGAATGTTCTCATCAGGGCTCTGCAAATGCCTTCATCTCCTCTGGACTCTACTCAAACAGCCACTCACTAGAGAAGCCTTCCCAGAGCCTATTATAACTCACAGACCTTCCCTCACTGGTCAGCCCTGGCTCATCACTAAGTATACTCTGTTTGTATTTGCTTACTGCTCTTTGTCTCAGAAAACAAGAGTTCTGTGTGGGCAGAGACAGAACTCTCTCACATATCTCCAGAACCTGGCATAATGCTTGGCACAAGGTACACACTGAGTTGCAAGACTGAGTGGAGCTAATCTTGCCAGCAAGAAGGAAACATGCTTTCTGGGTTAGGATGACAAAGGGATAAGACTGGATCCTGGGGAAGGTGGGTCTTTTCCGGCCCAGAAGCTAACCTAAAAAGGCAGTGAGGGGAGGCTGAGACAGTCATCTGTTTGGAAGGCCCACACTGACCATCACTGACCTTACCCACAGAGGGAAATCCAATCAGTGCCACACGAGCATCACCTGACTTCATGACATCAAAGCCTTCTCCTTTGGACGAGGCTGATTTGGACGGTTCCAGGAGTTGGGCCCGATACTTGGCGAGTTTTGCTTTCAGCAGGCCCAGGTGATACTCGGTAGCTAAAGGAGACAAAGCAAGGTGGAAGGTAAAGGTGCAGGTCACCAAGTTTGGTGGGTCAGAGTGGGCCCAACATAGGTCCAAGTGCTGGCCAGGAACATCAGAATCAGATAGCTATCACTGACTTCCAAGGAGATCAGGAAAGGAAAAAACCACCCCTTTGTTTGAAATGCCCCCCCCCTCTTGCTTCATTTAGAATAAGATCTAGTCTCCTTGTTGACATCTTACCACCCCGTCAGTGGTTTCTCAACAGGGTAGCACCATCCCCTGGGGGCATCCTGGAAATCTTGGGGATATTTTCTGTTCACTCTTGATAGTGAAGTCTTTGTTGGCATCTATCAGGCAGGGCCCAGGGAGGCTAGCTGCCCTACAGGGTATGGATCAATCTTATACAGGCAAGAATTTCATGCATTCCACATAACATCTCACGTCCCAGAGACATCCACAGTGAGAAAACCCAGGTTAGGTTTTCTGGGGTCTAGAACCTAACTCTGCTGACATATAAATGCAGAGCATATTTGCAGTATCAAGATACAGTGAAATCCCCAGGAATTCAACTTCTGTTAAGGGCAGTTAGGGGCAGTATCATGCTTTTCTTGGAACTCTACCATTCTGAGATGCCAAGCTGCCACAGCAGTACCCCTTGTAGGACATCTGAGTGGCCAGCAAAACCCACCTGCACTGATCTGCGCTGATCTGTACCATGGTTGCCACACCCCCTTTGATTCTAGCCAGAGGTGTGTGCATCTCACTGCTTTATAATTTTCTTGTATCTTGGCAATGCCCCAGCATTGACATAGTGAAATAAACACTATTTTCATCATAAATTACTTTCCTAGCTGCACATAGTGGCACATGCCTGTAATCCTAGCACTCGGAGGCTGAGGCAGGAGGATTCGGGTTTGAGGCCACCCTGGGCTACACAGCAAGTTCAAGGCCAGCCTGAACTACACAATGAGACTCAGAAAAAAAAAATTTTTTTAACTTTCCTTTTTTTCTTTCTCTATATTACCACTTGGGTATTACACTGATGTTTTTTCAAATTGTGGGTAAATAAGGTGTTTTGTTTTTTGTTTTTTTAAAAAAGTTTCCCAGGCTGGGCTCAAACTTTTGATCTTCCTGCTTTAGCCTCTCAGAATGATGCTAATAGAGAATTTCAGATGTCACAAATCTTTGCAATAAAGGGGGCTGTGGTTGTGAATGAGAATCAGGACCCACTATGACCTGGCTCCTGCCTTCTCCAACATCTACTCCTCCCCACTACATTCCAGATAGAGTGGATTTCTTTTCTTCTCTGTACAGGTTGATCTCATTTTTGCCTCAAGACCTTTGAACCTGTTATTTCCTGCATTTCAACCAGATCTTCCCAGAGTGGAAATGTTGCCTCTTCAAAGAAGCCTCCCCTACCCAGTCTGAGGGGGACATGATTGTGGGGAGCAGTGTCATACAGAGGTTAAGAGCCTCAGCTGAAATCCCACCCTGCCATATCTGGCTGTTTTACTTAGGAAAAGTTATTTACTCTTCTTGTGCATCAGTTTCTTAATCTGCAAAATGGGGATGTTAGCAGTACTAATTCCATCAAATTTCTGTAAGCTCTACAGAAAGCATTAAGAACACCGCTTAGCATACAGTAAGCACCAATAAAAACTGGCTATTGCACCTGCCTCGCAAGCACAAGGTCCTGAGTTCAATCCCCGGTACCAAAAAAAAAAAAAAAACAAACCAAAAAACCCCCTGGCTATTATTACTACCTACAGTAAAACCAAGCACAGCCCAAGCCTTCTCTGCCTCGTGATCCTATTTACTATCTTCTGGCTCTTATCTCTATTTGAAACTATGTATCTTGTTTCTTTTGGCGAGGGTGGGGGTGGGGGGGTGGGGGGGTGGTACCAGGGATTGAATTTGGGTCCTTGTGCTTTCCAGGCAGGCGGCAGAACCACTGAGCTAAACCCCCTGTATCTTGTTTCTTTTTTTTTTTTTGGATCTTGTTTCTTAATCCCAAACTTCCTCAGTTAAGTATTCAGCATATGTTTTAACAAGTGAATAAACTGATAGCAGTGAGAAGGGGTCAAGAGGGTTCATATGGTCTTTTTTGTCATCCCAGCTCATAAACTTCCCTCTAAGGTGAAGGATGAGGTCTTAATCACCTTCACATTCCCCCTGTCCACCATAGCCACAGGGCCAGCATCTCTAGCCTGTCCTAAGCTTCTCTGCTACTTTCTTTGGGTCTTATAGATGATATTTTATTCCACACAACAGCCAGAGGGAATTTTTGTTTTTGTTTTTTGAGACAGGGTCTTGATGTGTAGCTCAGACTGGCCTTAATGTCACAGCAATCCTGCGTCAGCCTCTCAAGTGCTGAGATTACAGGTGTGCACTACATGCCTGGCTTTCAGAGGGAACTTTTAAAACAAATTAAGACTAGTCTCTCCCTGCTTAACACCCTCTATCAGCTCCCACCGCCCTAAACACATAATGCAGTCTTTCCCATACCCTGCATGATTGACCCCTCTTCTCTCATCACTATACTCCAGCTCCAGAACTTCTGATCCTTGAGCATGTTAAGTTTGTTCCTGCCTCTTGGCCTTTGTACTAGTTGTTCTTTCTGCCAAGAAAAATCCTGTCCCAGATCTTTGCAAAGCTGGTTCCTTCTTCTCTTTCAAATCTGTTCAATGCCCCATCCTCATGGAGGTCTTCTTTATCACTCTACCTAAGGAGGCCCAATCCCCGCCTTCACCCCATCCCCACCAGTATTATATCACCCTGCTTTGTCCTGATAAGTTACTACTGGGTTAAATTATCTTGTTTATTTGATTACTAGTTTAGAAGCTGGTGACACAAAGGTCACCTATGTGAGGGTAGGGATGCACCCGCTGCATCCACTGCTTTCACCACATACCTAGCACTGGGAAAAGTGCAGAAAAAACTTACAGAAAGAATCTTGGAAGCCCCCACAGCTTCTCAGCCTCAGACCTCTATGGAGATGGGGGAGGGCAGACACTGAGACCACCTTGTATTTCTTGCTTCTTGATCCTACAGGCCTGAACCCACAGGACTGGCCAGGCATTCCGAAATCCTTATTTCATATTTCCTTCCTGATCTAGATTGTTACTGTCCTACGAATACTCCATGTGTTTGTCTCAGCAACACCCCTTGCCCGGGATACCTTTCCAACAACCACCTCCTGGTATCACCACTGCTCCTCCGTTCCAGAGAATCTGAAGTCTAAATGCGGTGCTTTCCGCGTGTGTGTGTGTGTGTGTGTGTGTGTGTGTGTGTGTGTGTGTCTGTGTGTGTGTTTTCAGTACTCGGGATTGAACTCAGGACCAGTGAGCTAAATTCCCAGCCTTCCTTATGTGTTATTTACGTTGGGGGGATTACTTTGAATATCGAATGCTCACTCTGTGCCCTGTGCTTTGCAAATGCCATCTAATTTAATTTAGCTGTGAGCTAAGATGGAGCAGGGATTATCCCCATTTGCAGATGAGAACACTGAGGCTCCATGAGATGAAATGCCTTTCCAAAGTTTCATTAACAAGTCCGTGGTGGAACTGGGGTTCAAACCCAGGCCTTCCGGGTTCCAAAGTCCCGATTCCCTTCACACCACCTCCATGGCTCCGGGCCAGCTGTTTCTCTGAGAAATCTTCTCTTGCCCTTCCCAGCACATGAGGGGAGAGCACCAACTCCTCAGGCCTGGCCATTAGGATGGCCCTGCCTCTCTTTGGGTCAGTTACTTGCTCTGTGAGCTGGTATTTCTCTGCAGGCCATCAGGTGTGGGGGTCAGACTAGGGTGTTGGGACCTGCTCCCACCTGACCCTGACTCAGGCGAGCTGGAAAGGCCTCGGCACTACTCCGCAGCCTCGGAGCCCGCTCCAGCTCTTGAGCCATTCCCCCATTTTACAGACAGGAAAACTGAGGCGGGCAGAAAGGAAGGCCCCGCCGACCCGGCCCTCACCCTTGTTCTTCTGTGTCCGAGCTATCTCCTTTTCGATCTCCGAGATCTTCTCCAAGATCCCCATGGCTGCAGGAACGATCCACACACTTTCGGCGATAGCAGCGGCACCTGGAATTCCGGTCTGACGGCGGTGGGAGCGTGCGCCCGGAAACCCACGGAGAACAGCGTCCTCGGGGGCACCCAGTGCATCGGGATTCAGAGTCCGGCCAGGCGACAGGAAGCAAATTGCCAGACACTATCCGTTCCGCTCTCTGGGTTGGTTGGGTTGCTGACAGCCAGACTGGGCCTGGGCGGAGCTAGAAGGGAGGGGGACTAGATGGGCGGCGCGGGACTGTGACGTATAAAAGAGAAAAGGAATCTCTCCAGTGAACCTTGAAATGGGGTCGCAGTTGGCATTATTAGTGTAAAGAAGAGACGCTGAACTGAAAGCTTCCCTGGTGGATCACATTTTGTAGAGTGGTCAGAAGCAGGTCCCATTTGCCACCTTAACAAGTGATTCAACTTAGTACCACTTGCCGTCAGATAGATGGCTCCCAAAGTGACCCAGTGTAGTCAACGTCTCCTGTATAGAATTCTTGAAAAAAAAAATTGTAGTGAGTTCAGATTTGAGGAAACATCATCCATACGTATAAAATGGGACATTTTATAAGGCAAGTGACCTGAGTGCTTCAAAATTGGCAGTGGCTGCTGGTGAAGGGAAAAGCACTATTCTAGATTCAAGGATGTTGAGTACAATGTGTGGACCTTGCCTGGGTTCTGGTTTTTTTAAAAAAAAAAAAATGTACAAAGCAGCTATAAGAAGTCAATTCTGAGAACAGTTTGGGGAAAATTTAAATGTGGATAGTATATTGAATGTTACGGTACTATTGCTGAATTCCAGGGTGTGATTTAGGGGTTCTTTTAGTCTGCTCTGACTGCCATAAAATGCCATAGACTTTGTGGCTTAAATAACAGAAGTTTATTTTCTTACAGTTCTGGATATTTGAAGTTTGAAGGCAGAGTGCCAGCATCCAGCATGCTGGAATTCTGGGGAGGGCTCTCTTCCTGGTTTACTTAGGGCTGTTTGGCTGCCACACCACCCTCAACTCCCCGTGTTGGGGATCAAACCCAGGGCCTTGAGAATGGGCAACACCCCTAGCCCCAGAGGCCTACTTTCTTGCTGTGTCCTTACATGGGCTTTCCTTTGGATGCCTTCAGAATCCAGCTCTCTGATGTTTGTTCTTATTGGGACACTAATCCCATTGAACTAATGAGCTAATCTAAATATAATCACTCCCCATAGACCCCATCTCCATCTGCCATTGAGGGTAGGCCTTCATCATATGAATAGGGGGACATAAGCATTCAGTCCACAACAGTGGTGAAAAGTCACTATGGCTGTACCTTACTCTCAAGTAGTTCAAAATGTGTATATTTTTAGAGTAAGCATGCTAAAATAAATGTGGCAGTAGGTTAATTGTTGAGTCCTGATGAAGGATATATGGGGATTTATTGAATTATTCTTTCAGTGTTTCTGTATGCTTTTAATAAAAGGTTGAGAAGTAGATCCTTGGAAATCATACCTGTGTTCAATCCCAGGTTCCTGAGTTTGGTTAAATTTCTTAACCTCTCTGAGCCTATTCCTGTATCCTAAAAAGGGAGTAATGTAATTGCTATAAAAATGAAATAAGTTTCTGGCTGTAGAGCACTTGGTATATAGTTTGCTTGCTGCTAAGTTCTTCTTGAATGCCAGCGCCATTGGAAGTCATTGCTCCTCTGTGAATTTCATATCCCTCCTCAGAGTTAACCCATATTTATTGAGCAGCTACTACATACCAGGCTTTGGTCTAAATAGGGGTTTTGCAAGCTTTGAACTTGCCACACTGTGTTTTATAATTGAGGGTTAAAAGCCATACAAAACTCCTGGCCTGGTTCTCAAACTGTTGAATGGGAGGGCTGAGATCTAAACCCAAGGCTTTCAAGTGCAATGATGCCCAGGTAATATGGTAGTGATGTTTCTGCAAAGTTTCAAGAGGTAAAGTGAAGGCATTTAGGGAACTGGGAGCGCTGGGTAAATGTGAAGGTCTGAGAAGCTGTGGCCTAAAAGCGGGTCTCCAATTTTTCTTTGCCTCCAACTTCTTCATAACATAGCTCTTGGAGTCTCTTTTATCACCACCTTTGTGCCCACCAAGGTACAGTCATTTCCAGTTTATAGCTGAGGAAATGGACGAGCTTTGGAAAATGACTCTCCTTCCCCAAGTCTTGACATCTTCACTGTGTGCCTGCTTCCATGATGACTCCCCTTAGCCTGTGTTCCTTCACTAGCAGCTTTGGAATTGGGCCTACCTCAAGGGTTAGGGAGAGGAATACACATCAAGCTTTCTCTAGGCAACCACCTTTCCTGCTTAGTAGGGCTGCTGGTCTTCCAAACTCTAACCTGGGAAGCCAGATGTGTACCTTGCTCTTCCTGCTACCCAGGGAGACTTGGAGGAGTTCATATGTGTCTGGAGAGGTTGCTAATGGACTATATAAACATTTGACTTGTGCACCAAAAGACACTGTCAAGCCAGTCATAGTTATCCACACCTGTAATCCCAGGGCTTTGGGAAGCTGAGGCAGGAGGATACCAAGTTTAAGTCCAGCCTGGGGAACTTAACAACTTTGTGAGATGCTGTATCACAATGAAAAATAAAAAGGATTGGAAATATAGCTCAGTGCAAAGTCCTGGGCTGAATCTCCAGTATTGCCCCCCTACAAAAAAACAATTAGTGTGAAACACAACCCACAGAATGAGAGAAAATATTTGCAAATCACATATCCAGAATATATAAATAAGACATATAACACAACAACAAAACAGCCCTGTTAAAAACTGGCCTGCCAGGCATGGTGGCACATGCCTGCAATCCTATCACTCAGGCTGAGGCAAGAGGATCATGAGTTTCAGCCTGGTTAACAGCAATTTAGCACAATTCTATCTCAAACAGAAAAGAATTTTTAAAAGGGCTGGTGATGTTGCTCTGTGCAAAGGCCCTGGGTTCAATCCCCAGTACCACATGCATGCACAAATGCATACATGAAGGAAGGAAAGAAGAAAGGAAAAAAAAGAAAGAACTGAGAAAAGGCCTTGAGCGGGCATTTTTCAAAGAAGAAATACAAATGGCCAATGAGTACATAGAAAAGATTCTGCATATCACCAATGATTAAGGAAATGTAAATGTATGCCACAATAAGATACCACTTCACACTTACTGAGATGGTGTGACAGTTAATTTTGTCAGTTTGACTATGTTAAGAGATACCTGGAGAGGTGATTGGATTATGAGGGCACTATCCTCATCAATGTTTGATTTTATAGCTGAATGGGCTATTAGGAGGTGGGACCTAGCTGGAAGAAGTCCGTCATGTGGGCATGACCTTGGGGACTATATTTGGTCTCTGGTGGCTTCCCTTCTAGCTCTTCCCTTCTCTGTGCTTCCTGGCTGACGTGAGGTGAGCAGCTTTCCTCCACCACACTCTTCCACCATGATGTTTCTGCCTTAAAGCCAACTCACCATGTACTGAATCTTCTGAAACCATGAGCCAAAATAAATCTCTCCTCCTTTAAGTTGCGGATGTCAGGTATTTTGTCTTACAATGGAAAGCTGACTGATACAGATGGCTAGTATAAAAAACAAAATGAGTAATAACAATGCTGGTGAGGCTGTAGAGAAGTTGGTGGGACTGTAAAATGGTATAGCTACTGTGGGAAATAGTATGATGTTTCCTTCAAAAAATTAAACACAGAGCCCTGCCCCGGATCTGAGGCTGGCTTAGCAGGAGCTCCAGCCTGTACTGTATCAGCTGTAAAGAATATGAATCTTCCTGAGATTCCAAGAAATATTAACATTGGTGACATCAGTATAAAAGTGCCAAACCTGCCCTCTTTTAAATAAAATATAAAACAGGCACTCTCAGGTAAAATCTAGGGGAAAAAGTCATCTAAGTTTACCATACAGTTGTTTACCAAACATAGAGGAAAAGAGTCTTAACTTTTGCTCTTGGATTTAAGTCAAGATACCGTATAGAAATTGTGTAAAATCAGTATGAAAGTTCAATGTTGCTTTTCTTGCACAGTGATTTTAAAGAAATTGTATAGTTTCAGTGTGATTTTTTTTTTTCTTTTCTAAACTGCATTCCTGGGCCAGGGATTTAGCTCAGTGGTTCCAGTGCCTGCCTGGAAAGTAGAAGGACCTGAGTTTGATCACCAGTACCAAAACAAAACTGCATTCCTATGCCCACCTAAGGCATGCCTCTATGTATTGGCTATTAGAGTATTTTGAAAATGAGGTATTTCTTTAATTATGTACAATCCAAAATATTGGTGCTTTGTATGGATCACAAGTGTAGCAGTCCTTAATTTTTCTGCTATTTGTCACAATTGGTTTTTTTTTTTTTTTGAGACTATTTTTTTTTTTAATGTCATCTTGGTTGGGGAGCTAGAACTCAGGAGATGACAGGGTTTCTCATCCTCACCCTCTCCACCACCCAAGGCCAGTCTACGAGACCACAGGCAGAACTGGGGCTGCTCAGCCAAGGGCCACCACCTGGCAGCTGTGCCCTCCTGGGTCCCCTCACAGGGCAGGGGGCAGGGAGGACACCCAGGCACCCACTCAGGGCCTGACTCACGTACAGTAGTTTGCACTGGATTGGCCATGCCCTTCACTGTCCCCAAGTCCCTGTCTGGGGAGACTGTGGCTGCTGGTGGGTAATAAAGCTGTTGAACTTGGCAGCATTCCAGGGCGCTTCAAGGGGATGTCTGTCAAGTGGGCCTCAGAGCCAGTGACATACAGGTGGCAGGAGGACAGGACTGCTGCCAGGAACCCGGAGACCTGTGTGCCCTCTGTCCTGTCCTCAGGGACAGCTCTTGGGGCCCAGCTAGTGGAAGTGGAGCCGCTTGGGGTTGAAGCCAAACACCTGCAGCCGGGTGTCATAGTGGGACCTAGCAAATGCTCCTTCTTGCCCCTCCTCCCCTTCTGGGGGGCTGGTGTCTTGTGAGGTGACATAGAGGCCTCCTCTTCCTGTGCCAGGGGGCTTTCGGGCTGGAGCCACTTCCCATGGCCTCCATCAGGCACCAGCAGCTGTTCCTGTGGTCCTGTGGGCAGGCTGTGTGTCTCTGCGGTTCCCTGGTGGCTTCTGTGCCTGTCTTCCTCTGGGCAGAGCGACTTGAAGATCTGCCGTTTCTTCTGGGAGTTCTGGGCCTTCTGGCTGTATCCCCACTCGTCCTGCAGCTCCTCCTGCTCCGACC